AAACCCAGGTGGTGAGATAGACTCCAAACCACCGGCTCTGTGACTTGATTGAGGTGTGCTAAACGGTTATTTTTCTGTAACGGATTACAACGTTTCAGTTTTACCTTGGTAATAGGTTTCAAAATGCGGTTACAAAAGGAACGTGTTACTTTTTAAATTTTTTATTAAAAATGCAGAATGATGATGATAGTAGAAATAGTGATGATAAAAGTTGAGAGCGCTCGACGATGCCGCATTGGTTCTGTGACGGACGCGAACCAGTTTTTCAAGTTTATGCTACTGTTCCAAAAAAAACCTTTTAGTCGGCAAACGGCTGTAGCTGGTGCGCATAACTGTTTCTGTTTTATGAGACGGTTCTAAAAAAAACGGTTAAATCGGCTAGCTGTAACTACGGTTTCAGGTTACACGTTACAAATACCGACCATCCCTAGTACTTGAAACTAAAACAAGATCACAAGAACATTTAGAAATGTTGGTGTTGAAACTGTGCAGCTTTAACTCTAGAAACGATTGTGTTGAAAACATCAGGAAAATTTGCTTTGAACCGAATTGGCAAATTCTTCATATCGTTAAATCTGTAGTTAAAGCCTAGATAAGTCTAATTTGATAAAAGTAAAGGCAATATGGATTAGTTTGTGTATTGAAAAAGGTGATTTCCCTTAGAGCGTATGCAGGTATGGGGTCTGGAACGAAACGTTCATATTATTCTGTTGTAGTTTGTAAAGTATTGCATTCGGATATCTAATCATCCAGACTGGCTCAAGATAAGTGCAGTTTCTTTATATTTAAATGTAATTCCATAGTTTTAGACACAACAACGTCTGACAATAATAAAATAATAAAATGTACACTTACTGCTGTTGCAATTTGTTGATTTATTGTCAGTTTTTATATGGGGATTTTAAACATTAGTCATAAATTTTCTATTTTTGTCGCAATTCAGGCTAACTGGAAAAGCTCGTATAAATCGAAAGGGACGATAACGGAGTTTATTCTCAGTCATGATCAAGAGCTGACGTAATTGCAACGTTGTTGGAAAGTTCCCAAGTTGGTTCAATATCAGTCGCCATTAATCTTAATTTCAGCTGAAGATCTAAAGATGCTCATTCTATAAAATATCCGCATAAACGCTGCATCAAAAATAAAAATAGGAATTTGTTTGAAAATGAGTTTTTATTCAAAGTGGACCACAATTCTGATTTAAGAAGCAAAATATTAAAAACATTTTTTTTAAGTAAAAAGAAAGGAAAGGGACTTTTCTTTTCGGACTTCTTTGTTGTTTACGATCTAAGGAAGGATGTGGCTTCACTGACTCACCCAATAATTGATATAAGCGACATGGAACCGCATAACAAATCCACTTTCAATGATTACATTCCCGGTAAGCTTCTCAATATGCCGATAAAGCCGAGTGCAATCCACAGGTGACGTAAAATCTTCTTCGGTGGAAATTTCATCAGAATGGCAACCTAACAATAATAAACTAATCTCTAATGCAAAACTCGGAATTCCGGTTGTATCAAACTCGGCTACTCGAGGGAAATTAGGCGCATAAGTATCATCCCAAACCAAATTAATGGAAACGCAACCGGCATAGGAAAATTGTGGGCGCGATCATTCGGAAAATCGCACTTGGAGATGCACTTTCCGTGTATTTTCCAACTTTCTCAATTTTCGTAATTCGCTACGCTCTTTTTGTTGTGGATTGCAGTTTATTTTACGAGTTGTTGATGAGATGCGTTTCAGGGACTCCAGAGGCGTACACTTGCACCAACCTCACAAATAACCGAAACATATTGAAATGCCCATAAAATAATACAATTATGTGTGGAAAACTGCGGTAATTAAATGCAAACTGGATTCCTGAAATGAGCGCTTATGATCTGGAATATTCAAGATCGGCTCATTATGTTATTATTCCTAGTGTGTTTCTATATTATTCTTCTTACAAGAGTCGTTTGATTAGTCAGTGATGTTTTGAATTTCCCGTGCAGTAACTTTAAGTTCAACACCACCCCTGTCAACTGTCGTCTGTTAGTAGACTGCTGTGAAAATTTGAGTCATTCATTCACATCATTTAGTTCGTGTTAAACACTCATTGAAATGTGAAGACTTCATCAATTTTGACGAAACTGGAAAATAGTATTTACAGGGTGATTCAGAATTGGCGTCATTGCTCTGGGGGTGTCTTGGGAGTACAGAAAAAATAGTAAAATAAATTAAATGTTATTGAAAACTCAGATATTTGCAAAAAAATAGATCAGAAGGATGGCAACAATGTTTTTCAAGGCAATCTGCCTAATTAACATTACGTAAATACCTGTTACTTCGTACTTATTAAAAACTCCGGTAACCATGGATAAACATGAAGCAAATAAAATAAAAGAGACAATAACATCCGTTGAGGTTAGAATAACGGTGTCACCTTGCGGTCAGTGCTGCGACAAAACAGCCCCCGAGTGCTGCCATCTTTCGGAGGCAAATGAGTGATATAAATAAATAGGTCACAACTGTCATCCAAAACCGCCTGTTAAATGTTACTCTCTAAGTGGGCCCCTATATATCCTTAAAAGGAATGACGCCAATTTTCATTCAGCCTGTATATATCCGATCCATCTGTTCTTTAGATCTCGTTCTCTCAAAATTAATTGGTTTTCATTCTCCGTTGTCATTAAGTGCACCTGCGGCTATTTTACGGATTTGTGTTCGGTCAGGATTGACCAAAAATAAAAGTATTCTGGAAAAAAAATTTAAAACGTCATAAATACTGATATTAAACAAATTTAATTTTCTTTGTCAAGTCTTAACATTTGAAATGTTGAAATCAAGCAACAAATTAAATATGTAGCCTAAACAATCAAGTCAACATTTAAAATGTGTGAACTTTGTCAGAAACTAAATGATCGCGGATGTCCAAAATCGACCAAATAAAATATAATGTTGTTTCTTAATATTAATATTAATACACCTTGAATTATATATTTGCACTCAGCAAACACACCTCGGTCTCTAAGACGTCCCACGGAAGTCACTACAGGATATAGGCCTAAGTCCCTCGGACGTCCCGGTACGTCCCCATATTTACGCAGGACGTCCATGAGACATATTTTTGGGACTGTTCGGACATGTATGGGATGATCCTGTAAAAGTCATTTAGAACATTACTGGGACGGGTTGTTTAGAGTATATCTGTAGTATAGTAAGTATAAACTACGAAAAAACTTTGAAGGCAGCTTTATAATTTGGAAAATTTTGGGTGGAAGCAATTTGAAAGAAACAAGATACTGAACCAATAACATAAATCTACCTATATTTAAAAAAAAAAACAAAAAACGTTTATGTATGGTATCAAACTAAACTTATTTTTGCTATGCTCTTCTGTCTGAAACCGGTAAAGTTAGTTTTTTCCTTTACAGTCTTTCCGGCGCGCACCTGAGCCAATTTTGAGCTTCAATTTCAATGTCTTTTCTTGTTGATATAAATGGTGGATTTTTTAGCAAACCATCTGTAATGAAAAAGAGATATATTTTATCATTTAAAAATCCAACTAAAGGTTCTTCAGCAACTTCTACTTCAGGCCTCGCCACCAAGGTTAGAACTTGTTGACTAAGTCTATTCGGATCACATCGAGGGTCAGGCAAAATTAGATTCTTAAGGCCCTCATTAGAATGCTGGGCCTCATTAGAACATTGTAAATTATTTAATAATGTACTTGTTCTTTCATTTATTTAACGGTGATATAAAGATTTTGCTCAATTTTTAGGCGCTTTAGGCATGGCTTTACGTTCGAAAGCATGGAAAGTATAGCATACTCTATACATATTAACGAAGATCATACATAAAAGTGATAAAAATATAAATTATCTACTTACCGTACATACTTATAACTTTTTTTCGAGCGTGCTATTCACTATTACTACATATACGTCCTGTTCATTACTTCCATGGGAGCAAAAAATATAACGTTTCTGGGACGACTCGCATGGGATCTGCATGATATGTTTGTGCAATACGAGAGACGTCGTAGGGACATCCTACCAAGGATGATCCCATGCGGGACAACGGGGATCAAAATAGAACGTTTCACGGACCATTTGTGTTTGCTGGGCAGGAATTAAATGGTTTTAAATATGAGGGTGGTTTGAAGAGTCCGTGCAAAGTCAGAGAGAGGGCACCAGTGGAAAATAACCAAAGTTAATTTCAGTTAGTAGCATCTCTTGGAAGAACGCACACCAAGTTTCAGCCAGGTCGGTTTATTTCTTTCTGTTTAACGTTCGTTTGAAAGGATGAATCGAAAGATTTTTAAAAACTGGACTAGAAAGAAATTCGCGTGCTGATTAAACATTTCTTTATGAAAGGCATATCGCTTTAAGAGACTAAAGAGCTGTTCGATAAACATTACGGTGATTCTGAACCTTCAATTAGAACAGTTTATAAGTGAAGTTTTACGCCGATGTGAATACATTTGGATTGTAAAGTGCAGGTTTCGGAATCGCTAATTTTAGACTGAACCCAGCTGATGAGAGCTAATAGACTCGAAACCGGTCCTAGGGGTGCCTGAGGTTGGTGCATTAGGAAATCTGCACTTGCCTATTTCTGAAGTTACGCTGAACGTTCTGGACGACCTTTTTCCACTACTGCTCCAGAAATCATTGATACAATCCATGATATGGTGACGGATTGATAGCAATTAAGCTAACAGACGTTAGAAGAGTGTAGAACAGAAGAGTTAGAAGGTGTTGGAAATTGCCAGTGCTGTAGGCATCTCGAATTAACGGGTACATAATATTTTGCACCAACATTTGGGCATGAAAAAGCTATTAAATGCTCAATAACAAAATATTAATTAAAATTATGCTGAAAAATAAAAACGATTTATCCTAAAAAATTAAGTTGTTTTCATTTTTGCACGGATTTTTCAAACCCTTTCGCCCTTGTAATAGTAATAGAAGCAGGTCTAACCGTAAATGCCTGTAAAACGACACAATAAAACAATAAAACACACTTATAACAAATCTTTGATATATCAACACTAAAAAGCAACTTCTACAATCCACAAACTACAAACTACCCCTGTTTGTAATAATGTTGAAAATAGTTACTTTTACAACCCACGCCGGATTTGTGGCCTTATTAATTACGTTTCTTAAATGCAGGAAAAATCTTCCATTTGCGTATTGTGATGTTCACTAACAGCTAACTATTCTTATAATAAGATGGCATGCAGAAGCTCACTTCCAAATGGTAGATATAAACAATATTTCATTGAAATTATATGTATCGCACTAAATGGAAACTAATCTAAAAGAACAAAATCGAAAAATTGATAAATCAAAGTTGAAAACATTTGTATAATAATTATAAAAAAAATACGCGTAACTTATAAAATTAAGTGAAGCAACTGGACAATTTACTTAACAAAATAAGTAAGTGAGTAGGTATATCTAGTGTCCAAGTAAGTCTAGTGTTTATAAAAACTAGATTATTTCGCCACTTATAAACATAATTAAAACTAAATATAATATATAATCTCTTTGAATGAATTAACGCTTATTCTTAATGCATTAATTCGAGAAGAACTTAATCTACGTAAACTGAAAAACACAAAAAACGTTCCTAACTATTCGAACTCGGATCGGAATCGGTTGCAATAAGAATATTTACAGGAATTATCAACGAAACAAATTTGAAAAGTAATACAAACAATTCGCATCTCTCAAAATCTCTATCTACATTTGATATTTAGCGTCTTTCTTCGTCATTAAAAATATCTTCTAGCAACTGTTTTGTAATGCTTCTATGAGGCTTGGCTGGATCCAATTTTGGTCTTCCATAGAGTCTGCTGTTGATCACATACAACCTACAGGAAAACATTTCTGATTATTTTTGTATTATCAATAATAACTGTTATTATTAATGGTAAATAGCAGGCATTACAATGTAGTCAAGGCTTAAAAGAAAATTAACGCTCGTTAGAATCGTTTTAGCAGTGAATGGGGTAAAAAATCAAACAATGCACAATCTAGAAGAATACTTTAACAACTTGAATTTTTATTGCGGGAATTCAATTGTATAGAATCGATAAATTTTGATTTATACATCATGATTTACATAGTGTAATAGTATGACGTATTTGCGTGATCTAATAACCGGAATCATTTTTTTTCGATATTTTAGCTCAGGATATGATTCGACAACAACTCTTGATCATGATCATGATGACGCGTGAGCTTTCTACATTGAATACAAAATCGCTGTACATTCAAGGATATTTTTTCCATATTTAGTTCACATTCAACATAAATGTTGCCAGCAATTTATAATAACTAAAGCTTTCACTGGAACTAAGTCGAATTTAAAATTGGATTTCTCTTGATGATTAATCGAAAAACAATTATATATTTTCTACTTCCTCAGTTCTCTTCAATCAGGCAATCAGTTTCAATTATTAATAGGCTCAACTAACTAATAATATAACATTGGAAAATACGTTCGCAGCACAGTTTTTACTTACTTTTCACTTAATTCGCATCTCACATTAAACCACCAATCGCACACGAACACCAGCTGACTAAACTGGGTACCATTCGGGCACAAAAAGCTCGTCTGCCTACCATCAATATCGCAATAGTGCCAACTTTGGCACCGAGTTTCCGGGTCCGCATAGAAGCCAGGATATTGTTGCTCATCACAGTAAAAGTTGGTATAAGGTACCATTCCTAAGACTGGATAATCTGTGCCTGGTCGACCTAAACGAAGTAAAATATATTTTACATGCTTGTTTCGCCTAGATTATCTGAATAATTGTGTCTTATAATATTGTATTTTCCTATATTTGTTCTTGCGTACTCGATCCAGCTTTTAGATTCTTTCAGTTTTTCGTTCATTCACTAGACCAGAGATCCGTTTAAGCAGATGCTCTTTGTAACGATTTTGAACCTCGCACTTCTTGTCACGTAAAAGATGCTAGTTCTAGACTATAGAGGCTCTCATTAATTATTCTTCACTCCATTTTGCCATCGAAGCTGTTGTTTCTTTTCGTGGTAAAATTATTCATGGATGTTATTGTTGATCCGTTTTTAAGATTGTTCATTGTTGTTCTTGAAAACTCTGATATATTTTGTCAAAAGAGATACACTTTCGAGGCAATTCCTTGAAACTAATAGGTTTTGCGGGGTTTTAAGCCGTTGAAAAATGAAATTTTGTCCTGACGTTTCGCAAGCACGAGTGGCTTGCATCTTCAGAGGCGGTTTGCTTGAACGCTTACACTACTCTGATGCGCTTCCTCGGGCGCAGTCCGTATTGATGACATAGCCTAGGCCTGGACAACGCTGTGTTGAGTTGCGCTATTGAGTTAACGAGTTATAACTTATCGGTTAATGAGTTATCAGTTATTTATTAAAGCTTTACGAGACCCGAGACTCTAATTTTCACATCTAAAAATACGGTTATCAACATTTTTTTGTTTTTGAGTAACGTTTTACTACTTTGTTCAAACAACTAAAAAAAGTTACCTATATTTTTCCAGCAACCGAACTACGAGTCCAAAGAAAGTCGACAAGTTTTCTTGTAAAATCGATCTCTTAATTTTGGTGCATAAAATTTTGTTTGCCGGTATTTTACAGTAAAACGTTACGAAAAACGCGGTTTTTCTGTTTAGACAGCGTTGTTTAGAAATATTGACATCAAAGTGAAGAAACTCCAGTTTCCAAGAGTTTCCCAAATCAATGATTATAAACTTTCGGTTTTTCAGTTCCGGGAAATATGTTTGGAAAATAACCCAGAAATAATTATTAGGGTTTTGTCGATGCGACTTGCGACTAAAAATCTTGAGAGCGATTAGGGCGGCGAATTTGTGAAATACTAGTTTTCAGAACTTTTGCTCTCTGGTCGATTGCTCAAGATAGTCCTAATTACCTTCGGTAAAAAACTGAATAAAATTATTTGGCCAATTTGTGCCAAATTCGAAGCTGAGAAGGGTTTCCTAAAGTTCCCTGCAAACCGATGAATGAGGCGACTTTTCTAGCCGAATCAGTTTTCTCATTTTTGGCTCCAAATACCCCATTGTTAGAAAAGAAGAAAATCATCAGAAAATAATGTTTTTTTTTGCGTTTTCGATTAAAAACTATTGGGTTTTACCCCAACCTCATTGTTGGCTTTTGTGCTTAAAAACTTTTAGTTTTGTGATCGATTTTTGAGAAAATATTAATGATTTTCGGCAAAAAACGGGAGAAATTTATTTTCGCTTTTGTCCCGATTTCCACGCTGAAAAAAGTTTTTGTAAAATTCCTACAAAGATTTAGATTTATCTTGTAAATTTTCGCGTAAAAGACCTCAGATCGCGCCGGTATTTTTAAGTGAAACTCTACAAAATAGAGCGTTTTTGAATGGAAAGTAAAGCAAAAAAAATTCAGTCAAAACAAAAAACCACATTTTTTAACAAACTATACAGACTTCAAAAGAATGGAGGTGACGAGTTTTCCAAATAATTTATTAGAAACTTTCGTTGATTTTGTTCATTTTTTGATAGAAAATGATTTGATTATTGTCCGAAATTCGAAGCTGGAAAGGGATTTCGAAACTTTCTACAATGGGTCGAAGGA